TCAGAGATCATTTCCAAACTTTTTGTTTAAAGTAATCATGAAACTGAGCCCTGGTGAGGTTAAGTGGCCTGTTCAAGGTCACACAACCACATACTGTCAAGTCTCATAATCAATTCTGTTATTAAAAGGTAAATATAGATTGTGTTAGTGGCACATTTAAACATTCGAAACACTCCCAAGGAGGAAATGTTTTCTATATTTAACATAAATTACTTACTTCCTCTTATTAGATGCTTGGAAGATATGGTGCCTGCAATTCTAGTTCTCTTATGACTTCAGTATTTAATTATCATTTCTCCTAATCCTCCTTAAGTTCTCCACAGATCTCTGTGGTGGTGATAACCAGATTGCAATAGAATGCCTTACACACCAAGAACATACTTGCTTTTTTAACTACAGCAGAATATTTCTAAAGGACCCTTCGTGTATGTATGGCACCCAGGACCAGCTACATAATTTGTGGAGCACCTTGTTCAGAAATTATTAAGAAATTCAAGATGACAGCAACAGAGCATTAAACCAAATGCAGGACCTTGTATAATTGCACAGGTTGTACTTGAAGCTGGCCCTGATGGTTCCAAATCTTTTGTCAGAACCTTTATTTTTCAAAGATTACTGTGCAAACCTGTGAGCTTAAATATTTTCATATACCATAGAGATTATGATTTATTTTAATAAAGCAACAAGGTTGTTTTCTTTCTCTGTTCATGAGTTTATGCTGGGTAATTTCATTGAGGTTGTTCCCAAGATTTTTTTTTTTAATTTTATTTATTTTGTTGTTGAGAATTTACACAGCAAAACACACACCAATTCAACAGTTTCTACATGTACAGTTCAGTGACACTGATTACATTCTCCCAGTTGCACAGCAATTCTCACCCTGCTTTTCTGAGTTCTTCCTCCTCCATCAACATAAAGGTCACTGCCCCCTAAGATTCTTGTCTAATCTTTCGAGTTGCTCTTGTCACTTTGATCCCATATAGGTAGTTCTTAAAAGAGCATAGTTAATAGGAGGAACCAGTCCCTGGAGAAGGGCATCATGCTTGGTAAAGTAGAGCATCAACAAAAAAGAGGAACACCCTCAATGAGATGGATTGACACAGTGGCTACAACAGTGAGCTCAAGCATAGCAATGATTACGAGGATGGCGCAGGACCTGGCAGTGTTTTGTTCTGTCGTACATCGCTGTGAGTCGGAACCGACTCCACAGCACCTAACAACAACAACCAAAGAGCGTAATGCTCAAGGCAAACATGTTTTCACTAGTTAAGCTAAACTATTGTTTATTTTTAAGAAGATTTCAGGGGATATTTTTGGTTTAAGGTTTAAAGATTATCTCAGGGCAGTAGTTTGAGGAGTTCCCAAGATTTCTTGAGGAGGAATGCTAGAATTGCAAAATTTAGAAATATGTAGTATGTGTTCTACTTGGACTTGTGGTGTTTAGAACGCAGGAACCAAGCAACATAGTTGAGTCCAAAAGAATGGTATTTAGATGTTTAGTGTCCACCATATAATTGGATTTAGCCTTGAACATTTAATTTGTAGGAAGATGTTTAGAGATTGAAAAAAACAAAGTGTTACTATTTTCCCAGAATATTTGACTAGAAACAACTTGCAACAGCTAGCCTATTTGATCTTAATACAGATCACTTAGATGGCATGCAAATGTGTTTTACCAGGTGTCCTGAATTTCACCTATGTGAAATGCATCTTTTTATACGTAAATGAGAATATAATCTGATGTTTGTATATATATTTTATTGTAAATTAACTAACGTTTTGCTACATCTCATTTTTTTATTTGAATAATGTTTAGTGTTTATTTGAATAATGTTGATGGAAGTAGAAAAAGTGCTTTTAAAATAAACACTATGTGAAGACTAGCCCACTTTAAAAATAGACTAACCAAAAGTACACCAAAATATTCAAGCATACATGTTAACTTCTGCCTGTTGATAAAATTTTAGTTACTTTATTTTCAGGTGTACAAAGTTGCAATTCTATTTCATAACGTGGTAAAAATGCCATGTTACGTATCTGTCTTTTTCATATATATCTTTGTATTGATACTAACCTTTAAAATATTTAGTTGAATTATTTCTTACTTTATTAAAAACTTCTTACGTGACAAATGTATGTACATTAAATCTTAGAATCTAATATGTACATTAGATTTTTTCTAAAAATCTGGACCTGTATATTTATATAGGGCTATTATTTTCAGGGAAAAACAGGATTTTTGAACAGTTAGTACCCTTTGGCTAGAGAATTGACTTTTAAAATATGTGTATTTGTTAGAATAGATTTCAAGAGAAGATTCTTTTTTCTTCTTTTTTTTTTTAATACTTTGGCATTATGGAAGTTTCTGTTTTATGGTGTTAATAAAAATTTTATCAGTAGTAAAAAGAGCTCAAATTTTTATTTCCTTTTTGCTGTTCATCTTCTTTTTTAAGAGCCAGTCAGAAGTGCCACCATCAGAACAGACAGATTTCCCTCATCATAGCTGTTTGGTTATTTATTTAAAAAACAAAACAAAACAAAAAAAAACCCTACTCTTGAGTAGTGATTGAAAAACCACATATGATTAAACAGACACTTAAAAAATATTGGGAGATATTAATGACATAATGATACTGCCTTTTAACTTACTTTATGACCAAATGATATTCATAAAATTATTTTTCAAAAGCCCATTACTCATTTGGATACTTATGCTTTCCTGGGTCAGTCCATTTAGGTAACATTATACTGATGTCAATTTATTGTCATCCTCTTTAATTTGTTGTTATAAGCAGGAGTCCCAAAGAAGAATATAAAAACATGAAAATAGTCAGACCATCTTGATCTGATAACATCCTTCCTACTGTGTATATTGAGGGCAATCTTTTCCTTTATATTTTTTTTATTTTTTTAATGGAACTTTAAAACTGAACTGGAACTTTAAAAATAAACTGCTAAGTTAATTATAATTGTGCTGATTTCAGAATTTATATTAAAGCATAAAATTTTTCTTTCATGGTCTGATACTTACATGATACGGTATATTTATCTTTGAATGAAAAGAAACCTGGTTCCCATCTTCCTGTTGACATCAAACAATCCTCTGATATGCTAATCTAGCATCAGGGAGAGCACATATACAGGCTTTATTTGGACTCATTCCAAGTCTGAAAGAAAATTATATGTAAAGAACTGATTTTGCAGCATTGCCCTCTTCAAATGAAAACTGATGTTGACACAATATCCAGTTAAAAAGATTGAATATTGAAGTATCATATGGGAGGTTTTCAACATTTTAATAACACCCTGATTTGCTACTTAATTACCTGGACATCTAATTGTTATTTGTTCTTTGGGATGTAATGGTACTGGAGTAATAGCCATTGAAATTACTAATAAGTTCATTTCCATGGTATGTTTTATAATAAAGATTAACTTAAGGTTATTAGATTTTCCTTAAAGGTTTATTCTTTGGTATTCTTTGGTGAGTGTTTATGAGACAGTAGATATAATTTTTTGCTAAGTATGAAGTAGGAACATCAGCAGATTTCCTTGTGCTGTTTTTCCTTTCAGCCTGCCCTCAACTGGTCACAGGGGTAATAATTGACAGAGGTAGTTGTTTGGAATTGTCTGAAGTGTAGTTTCTCCATCTTCAATAACAAAAATCAAATTACTTGGACTTCAGAAAATGTCCAATTTCCAGATAAAATGGATTTAGTATACATATTTAAATTTGGATCACTGCATCTTCTTTTTTAAAAAATGATTTAAGATTATAGAACATTTTATGAAAACTTATTTAAGTGCAATATTTCTTCTTGCTGCTCATTTATAAATATTATTAAGTAGGAAACCAGTTGCATTTTTGTGTTTGAAAAATAATTTTTGTGTAATGAGTCTTTGGAAGTCTTACAAAGCAAATGTGAGCTTTGGTCTTGAACGAATTTTTTTTATTAGTATAGTCTTCTAGCACATTTAATGTAGAAAATGGGCATAAATATGTACCTCTGGTTTTTCAGTTACTTTAGTGAATGCCCTCATGCGTGATAGCCTGCTGTCTCCTAACTAGATTAGTGAGTCTCTCCGCTTTTTGCCGTGGCCCCCCTGGAATGTTTTTCTTCCATGAAGTTTGCCTTCATTCATTCAAAGCAAAGTGCATCTTTGACTTTTAGTGTCAAATATTCATGAAAACTATTACATGAATCCTTTTATTTAATTTTTAATAAATTAAGTGATATTTCAAATGTACCTGGGCGATTTGATATTTAAAAGGAATTCTATGTATAGTGAAATCTTCTGTCAGGAGAAGAATTGCCTTTTAATGAACATAATTACCTTCAGGTTTCTAGACTATTTTATTCTGGCTTTTCTTAAAATGAAATTTGACGTTTTCCTTTTAAGATAAGAAATTATTTTATATAGATGTTAATTTTTTGAAATAGTTGGACTTCAGAAAGATGTAGAGTTACGCGGCCTACACTACCTTTAGATACAAAATTTAAGACATTGTATCAGATAACATTGTTGGAATCACTGAGTATGGAAAATCATATGGTTTTGTTTTTTTTTTAATTGTACTCCGGGTGAAGGCTTACAGAACAAATAGTTTCTCTTGAAACAGTAGTACACATATTGTTTTATGACATTGGTTAACAACCCCACAACATGTCAA